GCAGAGACATACCAGTGCGTGCGAGAGCCTACGTTTAGTTCACTAAGAGATTGTAAAATCGAGGAGTGAGGAACATTATCAAAAGCTTTAGTCAGGTCCAATGCAAGGATGGCTCTGGTGATGTGTGGAAAAGTAGGATTTAGCACGTCCTCCTTAAGCTGCAGCATGACATCCTGAGTGGAGAGTCCCGCTCGGAAGCCGTACATGGTGGAGGGAAACAGTTTTTCTTGTTCCGTGTAGCGATTAAGATGATTGAGAATTACATGCTCCATCAGTTTTCCAGTACATGAGGTAAGAGAAATCGGTCTCAAATTATTAAGGTCTAACGGCTTATTATGTTTGGGTATGAAAGTCACCTTAGCTGACTTCCATTCCTGGGGCAGCGTGCCCTGCTCCCATTGTTGATTCATGTAATCGGTAAGAGCTGCCACTGACTTGGAGTCTAAATTTCGGAGTGTTTTGTTAGTAATTCCATCTAGTCCTGGAGCAGATGTGGTGCGAAGTTTGCTTAGGGCAGCCCAAACTTCCGCCTCTGCAATTGGTGCATCCAAGTCTGCATTGGGAGCTCCATTGTAGGAAGGTAACGATTCTCGCCTTGGGCCAGGGAAATACGTTGTTTTAAGAGCAGTTTCAACGTCTTGCCGTTGTTTTTCTACTTCAAACAAGAGTTTCGTAATTCGCTTATTACTTTCACATCGCGAGGAGCATGGATCTAACATATGGCGGAGCAGGGACCAAGAGTTCTTCATATGTAGAGTACCGTCGAGCCGGTTACATATCTGGTTCCATTGCTACGATGAAAGTTCGGCCGCGTGTTCCGTTACAAGCTGGAGTGTTTGTGACATTTTGCGTTTTAGTTTACGATTATATTTTTGCTTGAGCCATCGTTTCTCCAAGCTCTGATAGGCCTCCCATAGGTGGAGTAGCCTGCTGTCTACTGGATCACCGATATGTGCTGCGGGGGCTACTTTTTCGCTAAGAGCTACATCCTGTTTAAGCTGAGACGCCCAGTCTTTGTAGTCTTGAATTTCTTTTTTCGAGTTTCGGTCTCGGATTTCACGAAATTTATCCCAGTCAACAATATGTTTTAAATGAAACTGTGGACGAAAATTGGCATGGGGCAGTGTAATTGTTAGGATGTAATGATCACTGCCGAGGTTGACCCCACTGTGTGTCCAGTTAGCTTGTCGCACATTTTTAGTGAAAGTAAGGTCAGGGGTGGTATCTCTGCTCACACTGTTGCCAATTCGTGTTGGTAGCATGCAGTCAGTGTCTAGAGTGCACCTGTTTTGCTGAATGTATTGAAGAAGGCTGGTGCCCTTCCGAGTGTTTCTCCCGTAACCCCAATCTACGTGCGGGGCATTAAAGTCACCCGTTACAACTATGGGAGCAGAGTTTGCTATTTGAATGGCCTTATCAATTGCTTCAAAAACAGCAGTGAGGCCATCTCTAGGATGAGAATAAATATTCAAAATAAAATATGTGCCTTGTCCTGTACGACGTGGGAGAAGTTCAAGAAGAAGGCAGTCACTGTAAAGATCGGAAAGATGATGCGCTATAAACGAGATATTTCTCTGTATATATGTGGTAGCCCATGGGGAGCTAGGATGCGAATGTACAGCCTGATAGCCGAGGAGTTTGCAAGCTTTTAAAGGCTCCTGTACGGAGATGACATCAGGAGCCCGTGTCGACCGCTGTATATAAAGTGAGAGGTTGTCTCTCTTGTTTCTTAATCCACGACAATTCCGTTGCCATATGCAGAGTGGAGAGGGTGAAGATGTTGCAAGGGTGCAGGAGGGGGTTATGGCTGCGAAGGCGCTGGAGAGGGTTGAGATTGTGGGAGAGATTCGAGCCGAGCAACTAACACGTCTAGATACTCTATATTGAAGCGTTCAGCAATTTGCGTAAAGCCTAAATCAACCTTTTGTTTGAGTTCGCGGTGTTCTTTCCGAATTTTTTGACTGGTGCTTTTAAAATCGTCCTCCGATGACTCCGGTTGCTCTGTCCTTTTCTTTTTTGCTGGCTGTGGAGAGGAATCTATAACGTCGGTTCCTGATTTTGCTGCCATATCAGGCTCTATGACAGAGGGGGAGATAGATAGGGGTGGAGAAGACGCGGGTGGGGCAGCTGTAAGTGTACTTAAACGTTCCAGCACCAGAGCCAACTGTTGCTTTAACTCTTGATTCTCTCGCATTAGACGTTCGATAGTCTCCTGAGTTTTAGAATTTTCTTTTGCGTCAGAGATCATACAACAGGAGCAGGAGGCTTGCTTTGCCCAGCTCACCTTTTCGGGTTTCGTGCTGAAGTCGCGGCTTTGTGATGCACTTCGTCCAGGGCTTTTGCCTTTGCTGCCACGGTTTCGTCCAGGACTCCTGCTTATGCCGCTACGGTTTCGTCCAGGACTCTTGCTTCTGCTGCTACGATTTCTATCGTCGATGCTTGGAAAAGACTCCTTCTCGAGCTGGAACTCGGGCTGCTCCTGCTGGTGCTCTTGTTGCGGCCTTTGTCGTGGCCGAGACAGACGGCTGAAGCCACGCTGAAAGCGTTGCTTGCATGCCCTGTCACCCGTCTTGTGAGCGTCCCCACAGATGACGCACTGCGGGGTGCAGGGATAGTCCTCCGGGTGTTTCTGTCCGCAGCTTGAGCACGTGAGGCGATTTGGCAAAGGACATACATCTCGTCGGTGGCCGACTTGTCTGCAGTTTAGGCACGCTTCCACCTTCAGTCGAAAGTTGAAAACGGCGTAGAGGATGCCAAACATTTTGACTGACGGAGGAAGCTCTTCAGCCATGAAGTGAATGAGCACTGAGCGTGAGGTACGTCCCATGTCTCTCTTGCTTGGACTATTGGTAGAAGGGGATTCGCCCGACGTAATTCTTGAAGCAAGTCCTGAGGTGACTCACCATTCCAAGCGCGGTAGATGATCCCTGCCCGTGCCCCGTCTGGGGGAGCTATGTGCGCGTGAAATCCCAGTTTTTTACCACGTAGCGTGAGTTCTCGTATTTTTGCATTGTTGGCAACTCGGTCGACGCAAGATGTGGACACGGTGAAAATATTTTTGGCCAGATTGGTGCACACAAGATCTTCGTCGGCAGCCACAGAGTGCAGTCCGCTTTTGGCGACTACAGCCGCTCGTAACTCTACGTCGTTGTATTGGGCCAGATCTACGCCCGCACTCGGACGAAAGACAATCTTGAAGTCATCGACTGGCAACCGTGGCAGTCGTTTTAAGCGAGGACGCGCCACAGCTGTGCTGTCGAGCTTTGAGGAAACGCTGGGCGGTGATTCCGTTTTGCGTGCTGGCGTTTCGGCAGCTGGCGCCGCTTTACTTGACTGCGTTCCTTCAGTTTCTTTTGACTGTTGTCGAGGTGAGCGTTGTCGGGCATTCAGGACTACACTCCATTCTTCTGGGTGGAATTCTGTGGCAGGTAAATCCGTGCCACTCACCATGTATGCCATTGCGTTGCCGAAAAACTTGTGCACGCGCGTCGAAGCGCGAGACCGACGCCGGTGCCGGTGGCGTTAGGGCTAACGAGGCGGCGTTGCCCCGCTCAGCAAGAGTTGATGTTTGCAAAGCTCCTCAAGAACAAAGAGGTTTGAGGCACTCACCAGCAGCGTCGGCAACTTGCTGAAGTTCAAGAGAGACCACTGTTGGCACCAAAAAAGCAGTCTTGGTTCGACAAAAACTTCGTAGAATACGGAGCCCATGCGAGGCACGTCAGCCTTGCCTGGCCCCCTAGCGGACTCTCTCCCCCCCCAGACTTGCGCTAAATTGTCTAGAAAAATTCTTAGCTGCATCACAACATCAATAAACACATAGTTACCATGACTGCAACAAAAACAACTATGCCATACCAACTTTTGCCACATAATAGGATCAAAGCAACAACACTAACACACAATGTCATCTAAAAAGCTGACAAATGCATATCTGTGAAATTTACCATAGGTCACTATGTAAATTGTAACCAAAATGCTGGAAGTTGCTGCTCTGTGCCTGCTATTCTCTCTAATGTCACTCTGTGCAAGGCAAAGTTACCATTTGTGTAACAAGCAGCCATATTATGCCTACCTAGCTTAGTGTACACTGATCAGATTTATACACGAGTTTCAAGTAATCAATTACTTTTCCCAAACTAACATTCTGGGTAACTCAATGAGGTTTACTTGTCATTGATTACCAGTTATTATTGACTTTTTTCATAAATAATCAAGTTATAACCAGTATTCCACAGCACTTTTTGTCCTAATATCCTGTAAGGACAACCCTCCCCTCTTTGTCAGACAATGGCCACAACAGACTGCACATGCATGCTCCTTTCCTTAAGGCCTTCTCAACTGTTGCGAAAGCAATGGGAGAGTTTCTCAGTATGTTTTGCCACCTATCGGTTGTAAGAGCACTGCAACCCTGACTTTGCATCTCCTGTGTCCCGTACACCTCAGAAGACTGTTGCTCGATATAAAACCGCGAAATGGGAATTGTCCCCTGGGAGGGCGATTATTCAAGAAGCTGTAATTTGATCACCACTTCAAAATTGATGCTCAGTGTACACTAGCTGCATTATCTACACATAGTGCCCCGTAAGAAGAGCTCTCCAAGACTTTTGTCCTTTAAAAGAACTTCTGAGCAACTTCCATTGCTATAAAACTGCCAAACACAGTCACGGGGGAACATTTCGTCCTTGTTTTGCAGCTTCATGAAATTTAGAAATATGCCATTTCAATACAGTTATAAGTGTTTAAGTACCAAATCTGGCAGCATAGTATAGTATGCTATAAAACTGCCAAACACAGTCACGGGGGAACATCTCGTCCTTGTTTTGAAGCTTCATGAAATTTAGAAATATGCCATTTCAATACAGTTATAAGTGCTATAAGTACCAAATCTGGCAGCATAGTATTAGCACCTATATTTGAAAATGCAGTAGTCACTTCTTGCCCAGGTGTCTGATGCAGGTCACGGACGATTTCAAGAAAACAAAAAGTTTCATGTGTGTTACCTTTTCAGTTGTCTCTTCTTCACTTTCTACGTTATAAAAGACAGTGTCAGGAACCGACAGCCGTTTCTTGCCCATCTTCTGAATGAGGTCACTGAAGGTGGCTACAGAAATTATCAAACGAAATTAAATTTTAGCAGGCCACTAAAGCACCAATGTGGTATGAAGACCACAAATGCATGCAAAGTACAACTACATATCTGTTCTACCACAAAAGTTTGGTTCTGAAGAAAGAAAGCTGTGCTGTACATGCATTCGCTTCTAGATGATGCAAGTCAATGGCTGATGGTAAGAGTTATGCAAGTATTTAAACCTTGAGACAAACCACATGTTGCTAGTTATAGCACAATCTCAATTAATTTACCAGGTGATCACATATGAGCTATTGATCACACATCAAAACAATTAGTCAAAGCTTTTGAACGTAATTCAGTCTGTGTGAGCAACACCATTTCTAGGATTGGTTATTAACTGTCCCGCAGTAGCTTTTTGAAGTTCTATTTTATTACCATTGCAATCTATTCCAGAGAAAAAAATATCTAATTACATTAAACTCATCAAAATAATTTTGGCATTGCCATTTACTTATAGCTTCAGCATGCAGCAGTTCAAAGATCTTGTCAATTGAAATGCCTAGGTGCAAAGATTGCATCAAGTTCAAACTAGAACAAGATAATTAGAAAATATGTGTAGCTTAGCTGATCGCAAGTTGGGCATTGAGTTCAGTTTATTACCTTAAAGGCCCCCCTTTCTAGGAGGGGCATTACATAAGGGGTGGGGTTTTATTTAGGTTAACAATAAGCAGTAAGAGTTGTTTTAGCATTAGAGATGAACAATAATACGATCTTGAAAGGCAGATGATGACATTTATGGCGTTGTTACAAGGCATAGTATATACCCGCATTACCGAACAGGCCTAACCAGCCTGAACTGCCTATATGCCGACGGACCGCACGCTTTAAATTACTCGACCAGCTGCACAATATAACATTCCACGGACATTCTAATTGATCTTTGCGTCCACCGGGATGACTGTCACTGTGAATAAGTGCACAATTTGTCTTCTGGTTTTCTACATTACCTAATGATCACTTGCTCGCTGTTTTTTCTGCTGCGCACGTGTTTTGATTAAGCCCAATTGTGGTGCGTTTTTGGACTGAAAGACTGCTGAAACATTCCAATGACATTTAGAGTATACATGAAAAATGCTTTGCCTCTTTGTATAGCAGCCCGAAAGGTCATACCGTATTCCAAATCATAAATTGAGTGCCCGAGACGACCACCACGTGCACACGAAAAGAGCTACGTGGACTAATAAGCATGAACAACTTAGCAGTAGTTGCGCAACCACCACCAACGGGTCAAATAAGGCACACTGAGAACACAGAAGCAATTCCGTGCGTCTTATTTTGACTTCGCACCGAATAACACACGTGCAAGCAGCGACGCCTGCCACACATTTTTCCTGTATTATAAAACGGATTCCTAAACGCCACCAAAATTAACAGCTCAAAGAAGACAGAACTCACCACCAAGGAGGACGACGTCTCCTCGATAATACCCTTCGTCGACGTGCCCTGCTTCATTGGTCTTCCAATATATTTCTTTGTGTTTTTGGCAGTCAGCCACACTCGCCGGCTTGAAGTCCTTAATGAGCTTCACGCTCACTATAGCGCGGTAGCCATCGTCGTAAACGACGTAGGCCACCTTCGGTGCTGCCGGCATAATTAAGTGGGAGCGCAAAATCAACACTCGCCTTCAAAAACAAAAAAAGAAAGACTGCAGAGACTACTGCCGTGGCACGTCTCGCAGGTCTCATCCAAAACATCCAGTACTTCGAACGTAGAGTACTGCTCTTGGATTGGCTAAACTGAACATGTTAACGACCTGATCTGTAAAACGTTTAGTGCTTGTTGCGCCACCTACTGAGTAGAATGTATACCATAATATGTGTATTTTGAAATGATTGTGCGCGTAAAATATTGTATTTTTGTCACCAGATGACAAAACATACTAGTAAGTTTTTAAAAAGAAAGGGTTGTGTTTGAGTTTTGATGATTTGGACTGTTGTAGAACAATGTAATCACAACTCATTCAACGCGAAAGGTCTGCTTAGTATTTTTGGTTTACTTACCTGTATTGCTTCTTGAGGGTGTTTTTTTACTTCTATTTTGAGAGGGGGTTGGTGGGTTTGTGGGGCGAACATGTTATAAGGTAGCGTTATGTTTAAGGAAATGAGTTACGATACCAGCTAGAACATTACAAAACTTGTAGTTCCTCGGAGCAAAAATGCGAACACACGCCACATCTACCGCTTAACAGGACACTAGAGGAATAAATAAAATGTACTTGATTGCATCTTTTTTTTTCTTGCTTATTTTTCAAGACGTTGGTAGATGTGCGTGTTTTACACATTACCCATAATCTTATTTATGAATATACAGGCACGACAATATAATACCAATCAATTATTGAAGAATCCAGCCTATAAACCACTGCACTGCTTTTATGCGATATTCACTGAACGACACGATAAAAAAGAAAAGCGCACGGCTTGCTATAATTATCGAAACGATAGGCATTCGCATATTGGAAATGTAATTGCGGAATGATAACGCAATAACAATATAAATGTTGGTGCTTAACGTTCCAAAACGATGACAATTGAGAGATGCGCCTTAGCGGCGACCACATGGAATCCATAAACGTCCACCAAAATCTAAGTACAAGGGCCTCAAGCATATTCGCCTCTACTAGAAATCCGGATTCAAACACAGACCTTCGGGATCAGCAGTGGAGCAACGGGAAAGAATTGATGCACATGCCACACGGCATGTGAATGTCCACCTTCGGGATTGTATTAGGCTAATTTAGGGATAAGTAATGAGTCCATCTTGGTAGGACGTGCGGCCACTATTACACAGGACACACAACACAAGCGCTTGTGTTGTGTCTTCTGTGTAATAGTGGCTGCACTTCCTACCAAGATGGATTCATGCCAACTGGCCCGATACAATTGTTTATTGACTTACATTTATAGTTCGGCGGCCTCTTCATTATTAACGTCTCTTAAGCGCTTATGTTGTTTGTTCTGTGTAATAGTGACTGCGCTTTCTACACAGATGGATTCATAGCAACTGGTCTGACACAATTGTTTATTAAGTAATGAGCCCATCTTGCAATATCGGCATATAATTTCGACTCGGACGCGAAGATCAGAGCCAACATTGCCTTTATAGAAACCACATTCGTCACGACATAATATTTCTATCTCGAGTACTTGCGCGTACAAGTCGTCAAAGCAAAAAAATTATAATAATAGCACGTTTTATCCCGTGAGTATACTCATGTGAGTAACATGTACATGTACTTCAGATCGGCAAAGGAGGACCAACAGTAATGCTGCAGCGATCGATGGTGCCCTGCGGCATAACTAAAATAGAAAGAGTTGCATGTCGACATTGGCCAGCAATCACGTCTGCATCTTTACATGTTAAATTAATGCAAATATATGCATGTGCGCTCAGAGCAACTATAAGCGGCAACATTTTCTTACGTTAATCTCCAGCGTGTTCACTATCTCAGTTTATCCGAGGTGTCTACCTGTACCCAGGACCCAGGCTGCAGCCGCAGCCGAAGATTTCTTTTGGGGTGGGGGCAGGAGTTTGAACCCCCCCCCCCTCCTAGCTTCTGCGGTGACCTGCATGGTAGTAATGCAGGTGTGACCTGGGGTGGCTCGAGCGCGTGGAAAGTGGATATGTGGGCTTGAAGCATTGCGCTCAGAGAACTGCAAACATGGAGAAAAGACGGATATACACGATCGGTAGTGTTTAGTGATTTTACTTCGTCCTTTTTCCGGCTCTCTTAGTTGATTCAGCGGATAAACTTTGGGGTCAGGTTTCCGGGAGGTGCTGTCGAGACATGACAAACTTCGACAATCGACAGCTGCCGGTGGAAAATTCTCGTTTCGGAGCTGGCTCTTTATACAGAGGCATTCAATGATGGGCTTATGAAGGAAACTACTTTTAGGTAGCCACATCAGTGGGCAGTAATAACAGTTATGAGCAGACCATTATTTTTTGAAACTCTAACCATGGACAGACAATCTCGCGGTCCCGTCCTTTGTTAAAAAAAGTCTGTGCAGTGATAAACTTGCAGATAACAAAAATAGTGCATTCCTTGAAGCGACTTTTTTTATGACTACCTGTTACGTGCTCTACATAGCAAAAGTACACGTCAATTGCAAGAATCTAAACACCGCTGTCGACCACAGCGCCAATATTTATTTAGTGGGTTGCTGATCGTCACATGTTTTGCTTTTACATTGTCTGCATTCCGCCACTATGTTTATTTTTCATACGTTTACATTCCAGGCACTATACCGACTATATTGCTACTACGGTTAATGCTGTCATTCATCCGTCGTCATCCGTATCGTTACCTCCACCATCCTATCGTGGTCTTCAGTTGTGCTTTGCTTAGCTAGTCATGAGTCAACTAGCTGCAAAGAAACGTCGAAAGCTGTATTTAGGACCAGACACTGAATTTGTAGTACCCCGTTCGACGCGATGGTACAGCCAGCAGTCGACCAGCAGTGCTTCGGCGACCGCTACGACTCGTCTCGCGGGTGTTTTGAACTCGCCACCAGACAGTTCTCACGCGTCCCAGGCATCACCAGGAGATCGATGTCTCACGGACGGCTGTTCTGTTGACACGAGTTCTATAGGAGTACGAACAGAGGTGCCAGAAGGAAGCGACGACTTTTTCAACAGCGCGCATGGCGTAGGCGACAATGCATACCAAAGCCCCGAAGAATGCCCTGACAACGAAAGCAATCATTCAGAAAATGACAGTGAAGACGGTGACACTCGACCTTTCCGAGATACAGATCAAGACCCAAGCTCCGGAACCGAAGAAGATAGTGGTGACTATCTTTGTGGAGACGGCGCTTCTGTAAATCGAGACCAAAACCCTGGAGTCAAAGGAGACATTTCTGGCGACCGTAGTTCTGTGCCCTCGTTCGACGAATCAGAATTTCTTGCCAGATGCGTCACGGATTTTGGAACAAAAACACTTCCGGGATCAGCAACCACAATTGCAGTCGCTATCGTTCTAATAATGTCGTTCATAGCGGCTCACGGCCTTTCCTGGTCTGCTGTGGACGACTTGTGGAAGCCTTGTTCGGTTTCGAAAAGTGCGGCCTGCCGCAGTCGAAATACCTACTGAGGAAATTGTGGTCCGCGAAATGCGATTCCGTCAGCAAATACCATTATTGCTGTAGTCAGTGTGGCAAGCTGCTCGACATTTCTAGCGACAAAATTCACCTGACTTGCAATGTCTGCCGGAGCACTGTGAAGCTGTCGGACGTAAAAAGCGGGGGCACATTTTTTTTCATTCTGGATGTTGGAATGCAACTTTCCAGCACTATAGAAAGTCTCTGTGGTGTTTTGTTTGAGAACCTCAACAAGTTGAAGCAGCAGGCAGAAGTCGGCTGCCACTTGATTTGTGACATCACTAGTGGCATGATGCACCGCACTTTGCGAGAAAAGGGTGTGTTAAAATGGAGCGATTTGACTATTACACAGTAGAAATTTTTACACCCAGAAAGGTGTAAATGAGCTTGTCCCGTGGACGACACCCTAAGGGTGTTATTTCAGCACCTTCCAAAAAGGGTGCTTTACCATGCACCCTTAGAATAGGGTGTACATGTGAAAAAACTGTAGGGTGTTATAAAAACACCCTTAAGGAAGGGTGCCTTCGATGTCCATCACTTTTTTAGCACCCTCTGAGGAGGGTGCGAGAAGGGTGCACAAGGGTGTTGAGTGCCCATGGCAGGGGTGGCAGTATTCTTTTAGACTGCACTAATAGATATCAGCATGCACTGATTACACACTACTTGAAGAAGGTGGTCCTGATTATCGATGGTGCGCCACCTGTCGAGCTCCATTCATTGCGTGTGGGCAAAAATATAAACGCGTACAATCGTGTATGAACTTGTGCTGGATCTATATATACTTCACAGTATATGCATAATGCACATTACAGCAAATGAAGCCTTGCTGCCCTTGCATATAGTGTTTATTTAATAGGAAAATAAAACATGAACTTTTCTTCTGCCACACAACTTTTTCACCAGATATGCGTTCACGTATACGTACACTACACATGCAACACCTCAAATGTTTATTATATTTTTTCAGTTTCACTTTATTGACAATTCTTTGCAACATACAACTACACTGGTTTCAGTTTAGTATTCTGCTTCAAGTACATATAGACTACAAATGAAATACACGCTAATATATCCCTATAATTCATTCACGTATCTACAATCTCAGTGGTTTCCAGTTTAATACTCCTTCATGTACACAATCGGTTAATAGGAATGAAATAGAGGCAAATATATACTTATGATTCTTTCAATGATATACAATCACCATGATTTCACTATATACGCCTTCATGTACACAATCGTTCCCAAGAAGTGATGCACACAAAAATATATATGGATAGTGTTTTCAAATGTATACAATCACAGTGGTTTAAGCTTTGTATTCCTGGATGTATAACAATTGCTTATGAGAAATGATGTACATGCAAACATATACGGGTTTTCGCACATATAACTTTAGCGAATACCTAAGAAACCAATACAATGATCAGAAACACAATAAGCTAAAAACGAACACAAAACTGAGTCAGGACACACAAAAAACAAAAGAGGTAATGCATAATTATGGCTAATGACA